TAAATAAACATTAAAAAAAAGAAGAAAGAAAAAATGTGAGGGGGGCAACTAGCTGGCTCGGTTGGTGGAGCATGTGACTCTTGATGTCAGGGTTGTGAGTTCAAAACCCAGGTTGGAGTCTACTTATAAACAGACAGACAAACAAACAAGGATAGACAACTCTCTCAAGAAGTTTTGTGATGAAAGAGAGCCGAGAAATGGGACATCCGGTGGAGCAAGAAATGAGTCAAAGTATTTTGTGTCTAAGATTGGGAGGGTGGGGCGCCTGGGTGGCTCAGTTGGTTGAACGTCCGACTTCAGCTCAGGTCATGATCTCATGGTTTGCGAGTTCGAGCCCCGCGTCTGGCTCTGCACTGACAGCTCAGAGCCTGAAGCCTGTTTGGGGCGCCCGGGTGGCTCAGTTGGTTGAGCATCCGCCTTGGGCTCAGGTCATGGTCTCACTGTGAGTTCAAGCCCTGCATCAGGCTCTGTGCTGACAGCCCAGAGTCTGGAGCCTGCTTCGGATTCTGTGTCTCCCCCTCTCTCTGTCCTTCACCGGCTCATGCTCTGTCCCTCTCTCTGTCTCTCAGAAATAAATAAACGTTAAAAAAAATAATAAGATTGGGAGGAAATAATAGCATATCTTGTATGTTAATGAGAATTATTCATAGAGAGGGAAAAATTTGAAGAGTTAGGAGAAAGTGGAGAGAAAACAGGAGCACTGTTAGATTCTGTGCACCAGTGGGGTCGTCTTTGAATCCTTTACTTCCTAAGAAGTAAGCGTGTCCTCACGTAAGAGGATATTTCCGCTTGGAAGGAACATCATAACAATTTATTTCTTACGCAAAAACAATAGCAGTTTCTTTCTTGTGCAAAGCCTGTAAGGCCTCCATCTTGTTTGCCATTGCTGTTGACTTGATGTTAGCAATTTTCTAGATGTTCAACTTTCTTCTTGCATAAAATGCTGCAGCAGACCTGCCAAGGAGTGACCACTGCTTTATGAGGCCTTGTTGGTAGCGGTAGGTCATTTGGGGCTATGATCACAGGTCATGCGTTGTGATTGACTTAATGCCTCTAAAAGTTAACTCTGTTAAATCTGCCTTTTCTGATACTCACCTGGGCTAAAGATTCAGAATTTCTCTTGCTAGGAGTCGGGTCTCATTTCCATGGGATTACACAGCCTAATGTCTGGGGTTGTTTGATACACTCAGCAGACGTGGTTGCCAAAGCCAGGAAGGAAAAAAAAAAAAGAAAAAGAAAACAGTGCTGCTGACTCAGTCTCTCATCTATGCTCGCATCCAGTAACCACATGCTGGGCGAAGCATTGTGCAAGACACAAAGACTCACTGGTGAATCAAGAAACCCTAGGTGTTACCTACCCATAAGATACTTACAGTCAAGGAGAGAGAGAAAATACAGACAGAACTGTAAGTCACAGTCGAACGTGTTAAGTGCCATAAAAGAAATTAAGGAAAGCGCTGAGAGAGTCCAACAACAACAACAACAACAAAAAAAAAAAAAAAGAAAAGAGAGAGAGATTATTACTTCTGGTTTGGATGATGGAGCTCTGATTTACTGAAATAGGCAAGGATTCTGAAGGAAATTTACCCACAGCCTTCCTTACAATGATCTCAGCTTCTATCAGTGTTCCCCCCTATTTTAAAACATAATGATTCATGTTTATTTTTTTAAAGATTTTACTTTATTTTTGTTTTCATTTTTTTAACATTTTTATTTATTTTTGACAGAGAGAGAGAGGGAGACACAGAATCCCAAGCAGGCTCCAGGCTCCGAGCTGTCAGCACAGAGCCTGATGCGGGGCTCAAACTCACGGAGCTGTGAGATCATGACCTGAGCTGAAGTCAGACGCTCAACTGACTGAGCCACCCAGGCGCCCCAGAAGATTTTATTTTTAAGTAATCTCTACAACCAATGTAGGGCTCGAACTTACAACCCCGAGATCAAGAGTTACATCTCTCCTGACTAAGCCAACCATGTGGCCTGCGATTCATTTTTATAATCCCCTGAGAGGGGCGCCTGGGTGGCGCAGTCGGTTGGGCGTCCGAC